CCAAAATCGAATTTTTTAGCCGGGTGAACGTTGATTCCAACTATTTAAGCGACGGGCTATTCAGAACTCTCAAAAGTATGTGGAAAAAGTGTAAACTGAAAGTTTTTTTTTTTTTCAAATTTTCACCGGGGGCCACAAGGTCAGATTTTCGGTTTTTACTTGGAACAATGGTCAGATTTGTTGACACTTTCATTTTTTATTTGGATAATGCATGCAAGCGTAGGGACAAGAGTGGCTAGAATAGATTCCGCAACCTTCTCCCCTTGTTGGGTAACAATGTCAAGCCTCCACATACATGCATCTCCCCTCCACCCTCTCGTGAAATGTCGATTTTCGAGATTAAAAAAAAAAACAATAATTGCATTTTTTATTTCAATAACGCATGAGTAAACAGGGATATGAACGCAGATTTAATATAGGCCCATAGAATTACGGGGACCGGCAAGGATTTGGAAAGTCTGAATACAAGTCCTGCTTACACCTAACAAGTGCTGAAATGGGACATAACCAGAGGTAGAAAGGTCTCGGAAGCACTTGGGAAGAGGCTTCCCAAGACCTATCCAGTTCTGAACGGAAAGACCTAAGTAGAACTTGTCAGGTCCAATTGTTCGACTCGGGTATTTTTTTTTCCCGCCCTTTCTGCCGTCTGATTGGCTAATTGGCCCTATCCAACCCTATGCATGCGGCTGTGGATTCTACACTGCACCACATTCGCACTCCTATAGAACAGAGGAGTAGCATGGGAAACCACAGAAAACCCATGCCGGTACAGGCGGTTACTATATTAGCGACCTCCTGCTCGCCGGAGCCTCCGGTTGAAAAACTCGGTTCCACGGGGAATCGAACTCACAACCTTTCGCACACTAGGCTCGCACCTAGCCGCTTCGGCCACCGACGTCGGTGACTCGGATATTCGAACATTCTCTTCATATACAGGATGTCCCATTTGAAACAGTATGGCTCAATATCTCTTGTAAGTTCAAATACAAGTTGTAGGGTTCGGAGGGGGAAACTTAGTGCTGATGGAATCCAGGCCCCCCATTGCTTATGTTTCTATGCTACGAGCATAAAGTCAGTTTTTTTTAATAATAACAGTATTTTTCACCTCTACAAAAGTTGTTCGTCTCGCCGAAAAACGTTCAGCCATACCTTGGATTGTCCAAGGTATGGACTGTATACCAGATTGTTGACTATCCAGCCATACACTGAAGTGTTTACTCCAGGGGCTGCGCGGTAGAAGCGTGGAGAAGCGCTCGAGCGGCAAGAAAACGTTGAGGGAAAATGCGACTATAACGAGAGTCTACTGTACAGCAATTTTATTGCTCGAAATTGTCATGAAAAGAATAAGCACTAGTAATACCCTGAGACCTCCAAAATTATCGGATATTTCCTGTAAGTTTCGTTGCAAACAAATGAAGGTGTTAAATTTTGCAGATTAAATATCTCAACTGCGCAGCACGAGGGGTATTTCTGCGAAACTTAGCACCTCCATTTGGTTGTAGGGAAGCTTGAGAGAAATATCAGATAAATTTTGGAGGTTGAGTATTCGGCTAACAATTTCCTGAATTCTGATTTGGACCAATCAGAGTGCAGTATTCGGGGTTATGTGACGCGTTTCACACTGATAATTTCACCGGCTGCAAGGAAATTATCATACTGATAATTTCCCTGTAGCCTGTCAATTGTTTTCGACGAATTTGACAGATATTCTTTACATTTTGGTGAAATGTGTCCCGTAACCCCGAACACTGCACGGGACTAACCGCTGAAATTTTATTCGGTATGTACTTTACAGCATCGAATATCGAATGCGCTCTGATTGGTCAGAATCCAATGGTCAGGAATTATCAAAGAAATTCAATTACGCACCTCTGCAAATCGTGGATAGTAGCTGAATCCTCTGAGTTGTCTTCGACCAGCAGATCTTGACAGTGGAGATAGCCTGCGTCGCATGTCATTCGTGTACTTTTCTTTGGCTACGGCTTTCGCGACATCCTCAATGTTCACTTCGTAATCAATTGAACGTGAATTTAAAGCTCTTTTGAAATTCGGTAATTCACTTGCCGTAACTAGAACGTCGATTGGGTCATGTTCAGCACGAGTGAATCTCAGGAAATCAATATTCGGGTTGTCATTGAAAGATTGGAGGAAGGAGCGCTGCTCAAGGGATGCAGAGGGTATTGTGAGATGTTTCATTCTGTAATTCAAAAAGTTCGAGAAATTTTTTAAGTTTCCCCGGAATTGGTTCATTCATTGACTTATAAAACGAAATATTGAAATATTAATAAATTATCGAACTGCTGATGAAATGGGATAATTTTTTTCCTTCTAAAGTACAGTTCTTCTTCTTCGTGGTGGGGCTAGACTGAGCTTAATAGATGATTTTATTTCTTAGTTATAAACATTCTTAAAAACGTCAAAAGTGTCCATTTTGCGCTGGCCTCCCCTACGCCGGGATAAAAAACTGAGCATTAATTATCAGACATACCCTTTGAGCTGTGGAATATGCTCCCCATGGCTAAGCGCCAGCAGCCCCAGAAGTATCGTAAAAAGTACAAGGAAGAATTTCATCTCTCTGACTGAAACTTATTACGTGTTAGCACCAATATATATTCACTCGAAATCTCAAGCGGTTATGCTGACGTAGCGAGATAATTAATGAAACAATGACACGGTTGTCGTAATCTTAATGGGTTATTCGATAAGAAAAGAACAATACTAAAGTAATAAATGTATTGAGCATTGATTCTTTGAATCGAACCATCAGCATAGTCCAGCAATAAAAAAATTCATTAGAAATACCAGAATATCGTAACAATGACCTGGAGTTGTAAGAGAAATTGCAATATGAATACAAGCGGTTGGAAAAATAATTCAGTTAAAATTTAATCTGTCAGGTATCTAAGCTAAAACTTGATTGTAATTCATCCGCATACTCAATGTGATTGTTTTCATCAGACCTAAATATTACGATCTCAAGTGAAATGACAAAAATCACAATACAACAGTGTGCTACTCTGACAATCCACTTGAGATTACCTTCGTAAGAAGTTTATCGGATGAATCAATGGAGACATTTGTACCTTATCATCCGACGGGTAATCTGTCTATCTTCCTTCAATTGACATCACTTTTATCACTTATCAATTCCCAATTTTTAATTACGCATTGTTGGGAAAATCCAGTAACTGCTGATTGAGATAAGGAGATTTTATTAGGATTAAAATCATATCTCCAATGTAATAATAATAACGTTTTTTATTATGGTGTTGGTAGTTTATGAACTATTTAAATACACTGATGACACTCAATAAATGATCACTGATAAACGTGAGGAATTTCAAGCTAGCTACACAATTATCTATGAATCAAATTTAATGGCGGAAATAGTATCATAAGTGTTATCTTGGAAAATGGAACGATTGAGCAGTTTGTATTTCCGGGACAGAAGATTATTTTGAACGATGGTCTGAGCTACCAGGACCCTTACGAATTTCACTCTCAAATTGACTCATACCCGAGTGGAAATTCTGTTCAGGTCTCGATCAGAAACTGATCAAGTCCGATCCGAAATTCTGATCAGGCATGTTACGCCTCTGCCTTATGTTTTGGTTAGTNGAAGACTTCAACTCCAAATACCCAAAGTCTAAATTGAAAGTGTTCGGGACTTAACCACAAATACCAATTTAATTAAACGAAGTCGAATCATAAAATAAAACCAAACCAAAACAAGAACATTTAAACCTTAATAACCATCAAACCACAAGGGTCACTAAAAAAAAAACCTGAACCTATAATAGTGAAACAGGGTAATAAAACCAAGTGTTATTGTTATTAAATAAATCTCATTAAACGAAACACTGTAAATCGTGTCTTGATTGGTCAACTGCGCGTAGTACCCGAGTCGAATAATTGGACCTGACAAGTTCTACTTAGGCCTTTACGTTCAGAACTGGATAGGTCTTGGGAAGCCTCTTCCCAAGTGCTTCCGAGACCTTTCTACCTCTGATTATGTCCCATTTCAGCACTTGTTAGGTGTAAGCAGGACTTGTAGTCAGACTTTCCAAATCCTTGCCGGTCCCCGTAATTCTATGGGCCTATATTAAATCTGCGTTCATATCCCTGTTTACTCATGCGTTATTGAAATAAAAAATGCAATTATTGTTTTTTTT